GTACATTTGTGCTCAGGCTCAACTCCCAGCAGAGCCACCCATCCCAAGTTAACTCTGCAGGAAGCACCACTCTGAAGGTCAGCAATGCCTTTTAAAAAGAATCAACTCAGCATTCTCAACAGCACAGAAAGCTTTACTCATAACCTAGTGCTCGGTAAACATTCCTGCAGTCTCTCTTCCTGTGGCACTGGAAATGGAGCCCAGTCCTTGCATGGGTACGGGCGCATGTGAGTGAGCGTACACGTGTATACACACACACACACACACACACACACACACACACACACGAGGCAGTCACTCTGCCACTGAGACACGTCCCCAGCACTGATTTTCAGCGATAGAACAGATGAGCAGCTTAGCAAGCGTGAGGCATACCAAGGCTATCTCTGCACACTTTTTGTTTTGGGTCTTTTGAAACAAGACTCATGTGGTCCAGGGGCTCCTCAAATTCACTACAGAGATGACAGGGACCTTGACCTCCTGACCTTTTTGTCTCTACCCTACAAATGCTGAGATCACAGGCATACTTCACCATGCCATGTGTATGTCTTCAAAATACGCAGAACCTTCAAAAGAACTCATCTCATCCCTATCAAAATCTAATGAATACTAACCAGGCATCTATTTATGCTAAGCACTTTCCACATATCCTACCCACATGGCAATGTGCACAACACATGTCACCCTAGCTTACAGAAAAGGCTTAATACATCATCATCATCATCATCTGTTAACTAACTTATCTGAGACAAAGTCTCACTCTGTAGCCTTGGCTGTCCTATGTAGGACAGGCTGGCCTGTTTCTCCCTCTGGAGTGCTGGAGTTAAAGGCATGTGCCTCCACGCCAGTCTGTTAGCTACATTTCTGTGTCAAAGAAAACAGGACTGGCATTTAGGCAGCTGGGTGGGTAACGACCTGAGTTCTCCCAAGATGAAAAGACAGAACTGACACCCAGAAGTTGTCCTCAGACCTCCACGTGTGCTCCGTGACACATATGCATACATACAATAACCAACACACGTAATTAGAAAGAAGATGGACAGAAAGGTTAGGCAGAGCAGCACACCTCCAACAGATAGGCACCGGCACACAGGGCAGCCACTCAGGAAGCCCCACGTCCCGGTTCTCAGCTTCAAACACAGCACTGATGTCTCCACTGCTCAGCACTCGCAGGTTAGTGGCAGGCAGGTGTGGACAGTCAGGCCTGACCCTATACGTCAATGTGTAGTCGCCACACTTTGGACACCATTTACATGAGAACCCAAGAGTCAACCCCAGACTCTTTACTCCTCTCAAGGAGAGGAGAACCCCATATGGCAACTCCTACAAGTTGTCCTCTGACCACACAAACATCAAAGCACACACACAGACACAATAAATAAACGTTACAACCCCCTCACACACACCTCCCGTCAGCCTTGAAAGAGGTTGGCTGATCTACATTGGTCAAGACCAGTCAGTTTTTTATTTTATAAAGCCCTGTCTGGTCTTGAACTCTCGAGTCTTATGGCTTGGCTAAAAGGAAATTCTTTAACGTGTAGCATGACAGTGATAAGGAAAGAATCAGACTGTATCATTTAGGAATAAACTTGGTCACAGAAATAGCTCAGTGGTTAACCAACACACTTGCTGTTATTGCAGAAGACTAGTATTATTCGGTTCCCAGTGCCATGCGGTAGCTCACAACTGTACACAGGAATGCATGTGAATAATACCCATAGAAATCTAAAGGAAAAAAACTCTACAAAAAGCTTAAGGATCAATACATTTAATGCTAATTTGCTGTCAAGGAATCCATTCTCCAAATAGTTGGGAAAAATCACCCTAGAAATCAGACGAGTCCAGTTTTTGTTCGGATCATGCATCCAACGTCACAAACCACGAAGCCAAGCTGGTTTTGGTGAGCTGACTACTGAGCTCTACAACACTACAGGGGCCTCACTGAGCCACTGGCTTTGTTTGCAGCAGGACTGGTCGTCCTGGCTAGCCAGCTAGCTCCCGCAAAGGAAATTCAGATACAGCACACAGCTTAAAGCCTGAGAGGGGAGACTTACATTTTTGGTATTTCTTTACCACTTTAGTTGTTTAAGTCTCTTATTCATCTAATTTTTACTGTCTTTTTTTTTTTTTTTGAGACGTGGTCTCAGGCAGTCCAGGCTGGACTCAACTCACTGTGTAGTTGAGGATAACCTGGAACATCCAGCCTCCTGTTTCTACTTCCCAAGTGCCACCATGCCCAGTTCATGCAGTAAATACAGTACCTGGTATAGAACATGGGTCCATGCATGGTAGACAAACACTCTACTGACAGAGCTAGAGCCCAGTACTGCTTGTAAAGAGCCCAGTACTGCTTGTAACCTGTACACAGTGTGTCCTGGTTCTGGAGAGTTGCTTCCCCGTGTGACTTCCAGGGAAAAGAGTGACTTTGATGGAACACTGAGCATCCTAAGATGCCCTTTGGAAGTGCTTCCCGGTGCTGGAGGGAAGAGGAACACTAACTAGGGCCAGAGCTGATGGCAGAGACAGTGGCTGCTCAAGACACCCTTCTGACACATATGCACACACAATTTAGATGCCAGACAGGCGGGGGTGTGCATACCTTTAATCCCAGGACAGCCTGGTCTACATAGAGAGTTCCAGGACAGCCAAGGCTACATAGTGAAACCTTGTCTCAAAAAACCAAAAGATACCTTCTGTTTTGTTCTCTAGCTAAAGTATGTTATTTTAACTTCAGGTTTGAAAAAGCAAACAAAAACCTCTACCAAACACCAGTGCCATCATCTTTAAAGCCTTCTTTCCGGTAGAACCCGGAGCACAAAGTCAGCATGCAGACATGATTGTGTCCACAGAGACAGCATGCAGACAGGATTGTGTCCACAGAGACAGCATGCAGACACGATGGTGTTCAACACTGAATGTGTCGACAAAAACAGCACTAGGTGCGGCTTGTCTGGCTAGAGGGACTTCATCTGTGGCTATAAACAAGGGAGTGCCTGCACTCTCTGGCAGAAGTAAAGCATTCCTTTAAAGGAAGTATTTCTTTGGCTCCTATCCCAGTTTAATAGCAACAAAAGGCTCTAAAATCCCAGGGGGTTCAAATGTCCTTCTGAACACCTACAGCTACCTAGGTTCAGTAGTTCTGGCTCACAGGTTAGCAGCTCAACTGCTAACAACTCAGTCTAGTTAGGAGTGTGAGGGGCTTAAAAACAAGAAAACAACTGGTCACAAAAAAAACCCAAAAAACAAAAACAAAAACACAAAAGAACAAACTGGCTTCTTTTACCACTTTGCTCCTCAAGAACCAGGGTATGGCCGTGCACCCTGGCTCTTGCCTTTAATCCTAGTACTTAGTAGGCAAGAGGCAGAGGCAGCCAGATCTCCCTGAGTTCAAGGACAGCTTGCACTATACACAGCAAGTTCTAGGCCAGCCAGAACAGTGAGAACCAGTCTCAAAATACAAAACCTAACAACCCAGGGTAAAATTTACAGCTTCATTCAACCACCAAGTGACCAAGAGTTAAAGGAACAATTTGTTCTAAGTCTGAGGGTGGTTCAGCTATAAATCCAGGTGCCCCGCTGCCAGTACACAAAACATTTCTAGGTGCTGAGAAATAAATGCATACTCAAGGCGCCCGAGAGCACTGAATCAGAACAAGGAGCTTTGTAGTTAGTGGGCTGGTAAACTGAGGCAGCAGCACAGCTCAGGAGCTGAGTTTCTGGAGTTGGATGAATCACACCGCTGTCCTCTCGATTATCAATAATGGATTGTTGCCCAGAGGTGGTGGCACACGCCTTTAATCCCCAGCACACGGGAGGCAGAGGCAGGCGGATCTCTGGTGAGTTCCAGGACAGCCAGGGGTACACAGGGAAACCCTGTCTCAGAAAAAAAAAAAAAAAAAGTACATGAAATAATGGACTGTTACGAGGGCAGCTATGGCAATTTAACGAGACACCGAATTTCGAGTTCTCACAGCAGATGGCCCCGCACCAAAATACAAGCACTCAAATAGAGGCTGGCCATTAGCCCACAGGCCAGCTTTGCCGAGGATAGCCCAGCTGGGTTATTTCAGATCATTGAGATAAAGTCTGAAAGACAGGCCTGTCTGGCAGGGCTTGAAAGTCTGCGCCCTGCTGCACAGGCGTCACTAACGCACCCTACGGACCTGACCTTGGCAGACTTTTTTTTTTTTCGGAAACCCCTTCTCTGACATAACCCAACTGCCATCGGGAACGGGAACCTTTGAGAAACGGACACGGGCCAGGCAGCGCAGGCCTCTCGGGTTGCTTTTCAGTCTCCAGGCGGCGTCGTGAACACTCGCTTGACCTGGGCGCTGAAATCCCGGTCGGGGCGCAGCCCCTTGGTTCGAGGCTGGGGAGGCCCAGCTTTTCTCACTTCTGGGGGGCGGCTCGATGGGTGGATAAATGGATGGATGGGAGGAAGAGGGCACGGGTCGCTAGGGTCTGAGGCTAGACCCAACTCCAGCGGCACCGGAGACTTAGGGGTCCGACTGAGTCCCCCCGGAGAGGCTCGCAGGCGGCCTTGACCTTGGTGTCCCCGGGACACAGCGTGGCCGCCGCCTGCTGGCTCAGGCCGCTGACCCCAGGCGCAGGGCGTGTGTAGGGTGGAGCCCGGCACTGGCTCCCGGGGGGCCCGGGGACCATCCCCAAGACAGCGGCTTCTCGGGGGGCCCTTGTCACCCCCCGCTCCCGCAAGTGCGTGGGCTCGGCCTGGACGGGGTGCACGCACGCCACGCACGGCCCGCGGAGAGCCGGACAGACGCCGGGCGGGCTGGCGAGCGCCCAGGGCGCGAGGGTCGGCGGCGGTGCGAGCAGCTCGACGGCCGGCGGGCGCGCACGGCGGCGGGGGTCACGCGGCCTCCGCACCGGGCCGCGGCCTCTTCCTCCCTCTCCGGGGGCGGCTGCGGGGCCCGGGCCCGCCCGACCCTCCAGAACCACTGGGCCGGGCGTCAGCCCTGCCGACGCCGCGCCGCGGGCCTCACCTCCCTGCGCACGTTCAGCAATGAGTAGTAGTCTTCATTGTCCAGCTCCTCCTCGCTCAAGGCCGTCGCCATCTTCGCAACCTTTCACCCCCGCCAAACCGGCGAGGCCGTCCTCAAGAGGGCCCGGCGCTGCGCGGCGCTCCCCGTGCGGCTCCCGCCCGCACCACAGCGGTCCCTGGCGGCCCGGAGCCGCATGGCAGCCACGCGGGAACGCGCCTGCGCACTACGCGCACCCCCCCCCCAGCCCCACACTGCGGTGCGGCCGAGGCCGGAAGCTAGGAGGCGCACGTGGGGCGGGTGGTGGTGGTGGGCGTAAGACTTTGCGTGTCCGAGCCAGTGCACGTGTGTGTGTGTGTGTGTGTGTGTGTGTGTGTGTGTGTGTGTGTGTGTGTGTGTGTGTGTGTGTGTGTGTGTGTGTGTGTGTGTGTGTGTTGGGGTGGCACTAAGCCTTTCCCTGGACTGTCAGGGAGATCGTGAAAGTTATCCCCGGGTTCTGGGTGGCCCCGAAGCAGGGATGCCTTGAGCTCCCTCCCTCCCTCTCGTTTGTTGCAAGGCCACCCAGAGCCCAGGCATTCATCTCGCCAGGCGCACCCCCACGGGAAGCTGCTTGTGGACCCACTCGCTGACTAAGAAACCTCCAGAATCATTGCTTACACTTCCTTGACCCACAGAAGCCTTCCTTCCTGTTCAGAGAGTGGGTCTCCTCCTTAGCTTAGGGTTTTGTTTTTTGTTTTTTAATGCGTTGCCCTAAATTTAGGAGCACCTGGGCTTTTTTTTTTTTTCTGCTGCGTAAAGGAGGAGGCAATATCCATTTGGTTCTTAATTGCGTCTGGCGTGTGTGTACCTGGGGTTCCTACCTCAGAGCCACTCCGCTGTAAATTCCTCCCGTATTATTTAGCAGTGGAGTCTAATTGATTTCAACCCGGTGCCTGCTGTTTGGTACATTATTAAGAACGTCTTGGTTACAATAATCTAAATAATTGAAGTGCCTCTGAAACGATGTGATGAAGCCGTGGGCAGCGCTCAGATTCTCCCACCTGTTGGCTCACATGACCTGTCTTTGCTCAGGGTCTCTGTTGTTTCTCTCCACAGCCCATCGTGTGCCCTTCATAAGCTGGTATCCTGGGAAACTCAGCACCTGTCTGTAGAGATGGGAGGTTGGTTTCTTTCTCTTCCTAATTTTTGGCCAGATGTGCGCCATCTGGGCCTGTGTAGCATCCCTTCCAAGTTGCCTGCTCCTCTTAGGATCTTTTGGCTGGAGACATCTAGGTGTGCAGAGGCGGCCTGCAGCAGGCTGTCGGCCCAGGTTGTAAATTAATAAATAGTTAAAAAAAAAAAAAAAGCTTGGGGTCGGGCGTTGGTGGCGCACGCCTTTAATCCCAGCACTCCGGAGGCTGCAGGAAGGGCGGATGGATCGTGGCTGTGGGAACCTACCAAGCTTTTTTTTTTTTTTTTGGTTTTTCAAGACAGGGTTTCTCTGTGGCTTTGGAGGCTGTCCTGGAACTAGCTCTTGTAGACCAGGCTGGCCTCGAACTCACAGAGATCCGCCTGCCTCTGCCTCCCGAGTGCTGGGATTAAAGGCGTGCGCCACCACCGCCCGGCTCCTGCAGCTTTTATAGGCTTTTGTTTTCTCCCCCCCCCCCCCACTCCTTTGCAGAGAGGTCTGCAATTGGGACTAAACTACCTGCTGACATTCTTCTGGTCTTTGAGAACTTCATATAGAGGCTGGGGAAACTGCAGGGTTGACATATTCCTCCCCCACGTTTGTAGATGTTAAACTGGGCTGCAGAGCTCACTTGGGCAGAGGAATTCTTTACCACCCTCCCCTGCTCTGGAAAACACAGCTTCTAGGAGTTACATAAATGGAACATAACATATGTTTCACTACGCCCAGGTCTGTGTTTCTATGATTGAGAATGACCTGGTTTTTATCACCATTCAGACAAAATAAATAATGACTCAGGGACGCTCTGAGCCTGTCCTCTCTCGGGCCCACGATATTTTGTATTGTGGTTCCTTGGAAAGTGGCTGTGATAAATGGAGAACCAACTTCCATACACCACAGGCCCAGGGAATGTATTTATTTCCAGGATTGGCTGTTTTCCTTTCTCCCCTCCAAGAAAAACCAAAAACACCCCTGTTGTTCCATGGGTAAAATAATGGAAACCAAGGGCTGTACAAATTTATAAGTTAAAAACCACACATCCAACACACTCCTGGAGCCAGAATTACTGCCAGAGAGGCACGGTTACTCAGGGCCTGGCACTTTCTACAGCAACCTGTAACTTAGGGGCAAAGCAAACATCCAGTAGACTTATGTAACAAATTTCTGTAAGTATAGATATGTGTGTGATGCATTTTTAAAGATTTATTTTATGTGTATGAGGTTTTTTTTTCTCCTGTACACAAATGTATGGGTACCACCTGCATGCCTGATGTCAGATCCCCGGAAACTGGCGTTATAGAGAGGGTCGTGAGCCGTCATGTGGATGCTGGCGGTCAACCTGGGTCCTCTTTGAGAGTAGCGGGTGCACTTAACCACTGAGCCATCCCTCCATCCCCTTGTTTTTGTAACTATGGATACATGTTTCCGTTGCATGCACACAGCAAAAGACATCATGAGTGCCTCTACAGGACTTGCACACACAGTGCAACTGTTGTTAAATGCTTTTGCTTTTATAATTCGTTTTTTGTTTCCTAGGTTTTTGAGACAGGGGCTTGTATAAACCAGACTGGACTCGAATTTGTTGTATAGTAGAGGGTGACCTTGAACTCCTGATCCTCCCTCTGCACCATGCTAGGATTCCATTGTGACCACCATACCTGGGCTCTCATTTTCAAACAGTAAAGCTGAGGACACTCATCTCCGGCATCACATGTTTATATGACACTGACCCTAAAATGTTTTGGCTCTCATTCAGCCACTCTGTGTAGACACTCAGTAATATGGCTCCGTGAGTAAAGGAGCTTTCGGCCAAGTCTGACAATCTGAGTTTGATCCCCAGAACCAACAAGGTGAACAGAGACGGGAGATTCCTATAAGTAGTCCTCTGATCTCCGCATGTTTGAAGTCATGCATACAGACACACACACACAAACACACCAGTATAGTATTGATATCACATGGGGAATATTCTGAATAGTTGTTTATCTGAAATTCAAATTCAGCAAGGCACTATAGTTTGGGTTCCCAGTGTCCCCAAGAGTGCATGTGTTATAGGGCTGTTTCCTCTGTATTGCGATTTGGAAACCCTGAAAACTTACAAAGGCAGAGCCCCGTGGGCAGGCATAGGTCTTTGTTGGTGTGCCCTCAGGAGGGATTGTTGTCCTAGGTTGACCACTCTTAATGTCAGTTTGATGAAGGCTAGAGTCACCTTAGAGGAGGAGCCTCAACTACAGCCTCAGATAGGCTGTTAGGGTATTTTCTTAATTAGTGGTTCATGGGTGAGGGCCCAGCCCATAGTGGGCGGGGCCATCCCTGGGCAGAGATGGTCCTGGGTTCTGTAAGAAAGCAGGCTGAGCAAGCCATGGGGAGCAAACCAGTAAGCAGCACCCCTCCTCGGCCTCTGCCATCAGCGCCTGCCTCCAGGTTCCTGCCCTGCTTGAGTCCTTGTCCTGGCTTCCTCCAGGGATAGACTACAGTGTGGAAGTGTGAGCTGAATGAACCCTTTCCTCCCCAAGCCGCTTTTGATCATGGTGTCTCGTCATAGGGGTAGTAACCCTAAGACAGGAACCCCAGTCTCCTCTTCTGTGAGGCCAGCAGGCTTTCTCTGACACACCCTTCTGCCATGATACATGACAGGCCCCAAAATGTCAAAACCGATTAGTCATGGATGGAAACTTCCAGGACCCCAAGACAAAATAATAACCTTTCCCCTCTCTATGCCTGTGGTCCTGGGTGCTTTGTCACGGTAGCAAGAAGCTGACACCGGGGCACTCTCTAATTTCATTTGCAACCCTCACCTTCACAAGTAACAATGGGGGGGGGTCACGCAGCTCGCCTGCCCCTGCCCTTTCTCTAACTGGACCAAATCCCTATTATCTGTCTGTAGCTCAGGAGGAGGAATTACCTCTAATCTTCTTATTCCTGTCATCAGTCTGGGCTGGGGTTTAGCGCTTGCTTGCCATTCAGGGCCCATTCTTCCCTGCCCCTCCCAGTGCTGATAACCCTGTTAACGGGCAGATAGGAGGAAAGCCTTAGCTACAGCAAGAAGAGGGAATTTGCAGGCACTCAAGAATTAAATTTTCTTGATGTTATCTGCTCCCTGAGCATTCGGTGACTTGTCACTGACATCTTTAGCCTCGGTGATAATTGCTGCGGGGTCACCCAGAGGAGGAGTTGCACCTGTCTCTGCCAGCCTCACAGGGAGGCCGAGCCACGCTGGTTGAGAGCCTAACCCCAGCGGCAGCCTGGGTGTCCGGTGGAGACGTGGAACCAAGCCGGGGGTGTGCTAGACACTTCCAGCCTGACCAGTTTTGTCCCTTGCCATTCCATGGAAGCACACACACCCCCAGATCTCTACCTCAGAGCCTCTGCCCTTGGGGCTCAGTATTTCACCTGCAATATCACCCATCTGGCATGTTCGGGGAACCTCCTTCCATCACGTGGGTCCGCAAGGACTGAACTCAGCTCCTCCGGCAGAGACAGATGCCTTTACCCATTGAGTCATCTCTCAAGGCCCTGGTCTGTGCCAGGCTTCCTTGGACCTCCAGCCCCCAAGTCATGACGCGGAGACTTGCTAATAATTATGAATGCTGGGCTAGCTCAGTCGGCTGAGCGTGAGACTCTTAATCTCAGGGTCGCGGGTTCGGGCCCTGTGTTGTGTGCCATTTGGGCACCATTTGTAGTTGGAACTTTATCTGGGAGCTGGTCGGTGCCCAAAGAAAATTCAGCTATACCGGTCTCTACCTATTGATCTACCCCAGCCTGTGAGCTCCCTGGGGAAGACGCAGGTGGCCCCTTTCCGGTGCGCCTCCTTGGACAGTCAGCGACCCAGCGCCTTCACCCGAGGTCCTGCCTTCCACACCTGTCCCCTTCCTTGCTCTGTCTCTGTCATCTTCTCTCACCCCTCCCAGGCTCTCAGGAGCAGCCACAGAGTCTTGGCAAGTGTGAAGCTCGTGCTAT